AGGAATGGAGTTTTGCACATGGATGATACAGGGCAAATACACCTTTTCTATGTCTGTAATAACCTCTGCTTTTTGCATCATTCTGAGCTTAGAAACTAGCTGTGACAGGAAAGTGGATCAAGAATTAACAAACAAACTTACTTTCTAGACCATCAGAGAGAAGAATTAAAGAGGATACAGCTATATGTTTTTACCTTATGATTCCATAAAGGGAATGTGCCTTAAGCAGTATCTTATTTATCTTAATTTTAACCACAATGGGGAGGGGACTGTCAAATTAACCGTGAAGTGTAAGCTGTGGAACAGAACACAGCAGAATTTGATGCTGATTTACTTATCTGTTCCACAAGAAATAAAAACACACTTACAAATGTTCAAATACAAAAACTAATTAAAAAAAGAGGGAGGGAGGGAGGAAACAAAAATTTTTACTTTCCAATTCCACTGTTTAATAACATAATTTACTGTACAGTGTCTCAAATATGTGTTTGTAAATAATTTGTCTTGTAAACCATATGTTCAAGATGAAAGTGTATGTAGGAAACGACAAATGGTAAACTTGTGTCGAAGGTTTGCCGTTGTTGCAGGTCATCTGGCTTGCAATGCAGTAACGATGCGTGATGGCTGAAATGTTTGTATTTGTAAGTCTATATTAGGACAGGAATCTGAGTTTTCAAAATCTGTTACTGTTTGATTAAAATTACATGTGTTTATGGTTTTATAATAATCCCTCTTTGCAAATTTGAACATTTGAAGAAAATTGTCAGAATAGAATTTTAACATTAGATTTAAGAATATATAAGGTATCAAACTGAGACTTTTGTAATATAAATGCAGAGCCCTTTGTTTCAATCTGATGTGTATCTCATGCGATTGCTCTTAAATGTTTTGTAGTTTTGCTTCTTAATTCAACACTGAATTTTGCATGGCATGATGCCATATTCTCATCATTCAGCTACCGTTGTGTGATTAAAAAGTTCGGAAGGATATTTGTTTGGAAGTACATCAGTGTTGTTCTGTGCACAAATTCCCTGTTGTGAGTGTGTGTGCGCGCGTGCACACACGCATGCTTGTGTGTCCCCCTCAAACTTTATGAACATCCTGTATTATTTGGAATCCTGAAGTGAAAGATGGAGTTCTTTAGCAACACTGCATGTCTAGTGTGAGACTGCATGCGACATGTGTTGTTGAGTGACAAGTTTTTGAAGTGATATGAGTGACTAACATGTAAACCTGAAAGGAGACCAAGGTTTGACCCAGTTTAATTTTTGTTCTGTTTTCTCTTAGAAATGGAAACTCATTTCTGAACCATCTGGAAAAAAGTGTGCTTTCATTTTGTCATTTTTAAGATATTGCAGCACATGTTCATCAGTACAAAGTTTATAACAGTTGAAAAAACTCACATGAAGAAGCAGAACAATGTGGTTCCATAATTTGCAATTTCAACACTTCTGTTAATATGCTAGGTGTATATATGGCATATCTTGTTGACAGCAGGTCACCCAGAAGTATCTGCATGGAATTGTGGCGCTATATGAAAATAGGTCAACTCATCTTGTCTTTCTAAGCAAGCCTCTTGAATGCCATGCAGAGTCTAATGTTGACAAATGTTTTTAAATATTGCTCAGTCAAGAAATATTTCACTGCTGTTCTCTTTATTGCTGTGGTACATGTGGAGGCCAGAAAGATGAGAATTAGTTTGTTGATAGTCTAGTCAAGGCTGTGTACTGGCCATAAGAGTGATTTCGTAGGGATTTGTGCCCAAATCCCAATTTCATAGAGGTGTAGAATAGTTGCCCCTGAAAGTTGAACAGTGCTGATAGAAAGGTTGCCATTAGTCATGAAACAGGACTTCACTTTAACTTTACCTTTTCGGCAAATTGACGTTAGCATGAGCAGTCCTTTGTTGATTCCCTTGGACTTTATAGAGAAACTTTTAAAAGCACTTTCCATGAAGCATCCCTTACTTGAGCCAAGTTGAGGATGGTATCTTGAGGGAAGCATATACAAGCATAGTCACTACCTGCTGGTAGATGTCGCTATGAGATGGTACGATCTCAGTATAGTTCGAATCATATTTTCAGCCACCAGTCCCACCATCACAGTACATATATACTGCCTCAGCATCGTCCACGACTGCTGCGGCCCCTGGAAATGGTCCACCTGTGACTCAAGGTTCACCCATGCTGGGAGCTCCTGCGCCCCTGCCACCTGCACAGCACTACTACACTCAAGCACACCTGAACCCCACTGACCTGTACTACAGCATTCCACAGCCCTACCCCACCATGATGAGCAACGAGGGGGTTGTGTATGATACGTCCCCGCAGACTGAGACGTCCAGCAACCAGTCAGCTGAAGTGAGTGCAATTTGTGAGACACATGGTATGGCCACCTCATACCAAAGATGATGATGATCCACGAGGAAGTTAAATATTTCAGTAGACGTTGAGCATCATCTCCAGGTGTGCCACTGTAGCCATTAATGCTGTGTTACTAATTAACGAACTCCACAGATCAGATTCCTTGAATAATTATTCAAATTTAATTCCCCATCTTTTATTGCCATGTTCACAGGAGCTTATCCTGAGCCAGATAAATCCTGTTGACATCCTTTCATGGAGATCCATTGCATTGTTTTTCTTCCATTTATCCACAGGTTTCCCAAGTGGACTCTTCCCTTCTGATTTCTGGCTGGAAGTTGGTATGCCTTTATCATCTCCCCAATGCATGCTACATGCCATAGCCACTCAACCTTCTAGATTTCATTACTCTAGTAATTTTTATTTGTGTAATTTGTAGGACAGTTGTTCAAACTCGAGCAATTCAGACACTGTTAGAAGTGGAGGCGGTGAAAATTGCAAACCACCACTAAACCAGGAAAAAACGGTTGCTAAGCATGAAAGCAACTTGCCGAGTAATGGTGGGTGGGTGCCACCCGCCACCACAGCAAACAGCCAGCTGCCCACCCAGAGTCAGCACCAGAATGCCTCGACACCTGTTGTCTCCCTCCTGAAACTTCAGCAGATAGGTGAAGAATTGGACATCTGCCCCAGCAAGAAGAGCTTGTCACCCGCGATCCAAGACTACGTGACCACTCCGCCCCCCCAGCAGACATACTACCAACAGGTGCCACCCCCCTTGCTGAACCAAAACAAATCCCAGTCTCCAATGATGCCCATTTTGTACCAGTCTGTGCCACCTATGTTTGTAAATCCCACAGCTCAGCCATCTGGAACCTCTCCCTATATGAACCAGTTTTTGCCATCTGGCATAGTCAATGGGCATTCTGATCATCCTGGTACCAACTGTACTGGGCAGTTTCAAAATCATCGGGCCCCATATGCTTCAAAATTGTTCAACAGTCGACGTGGTGGCGGGACGTCTGGCAGCCACTCCTCTCCCATGTCAGTTCACATCCCACCATTTCCTCCCAAGTTCCATTTCTTGAATAGCAACCATGTGCACATGCCAGGGATGCACAGCCCTCACATTCAGGGTTCAGGTCAAAAGCGTTATTATAATAACAGGAATCTGAACCAGCAGCATCGAGGGCGGGACAGCGGACGGTACGTGGGACCCAATTCAGGCAGGATGCAGCGCCGATACTTCTCTACCAATGTCAGCGTGTTCAACAAG